TGCTTTTGTATTTATACTAACAAAAGCAGCTTGGAATAAGGGAATTTTACAAGAGGAAGGAGGTTCAACAGATCTGTGACCTAAGCTGCAGATGCTTTCAATATGAAGATAGAGTTTAGCTATCAAAAATGTTCAACTTTTGCTTGCTCTATTCACCAGCAGGATCTTCTCAGAACAACTGGCTATGAAAAGTGCCCTTCTGTGAAATATTTTGGCTCTGAAAATCTCCCACAATTATTTCTACGTCAGCGCATTTTTCACTCACCAGGCTGCCTCCCCTTGTGATTCTGTCGGAGGTTCACGTTACAGGAATAACTCTTTTCTGATTAGAAAACAATATGCTAAGGACATGAATAGACTGTGAATTGTGTATCTTGTGTATTTTGGTTTTAGGTTCAGCCAGCCTCCATCAAGCCTCTGTGGGCTTTATGCCATTCCTATATCTCCAGCCATTTCAAGCAATGCCAAAACACATTTGTTTTGATCCTGTGCACATTTGCACATGCAAACTAGCATGGGTAGGAAATGAAAATCAGGTAGCCAGATATCATGTATCCAATTTCCATGAACAAAGGGTGGGTTTTGAACAAACAAACAATTGTGTGTCTGTGTATTTAAAGGCTTTGAACGAATATTTGCATCCTTAAAGGAAAGGGCTGAGATAAAACATCACTCTCCCTCACCTTCTGTATTGGATAAATCACCTATCCTAGTACTCATCAGAAAGAATGAAAACCACTCTAACCCAATCTGCATATTTTCCCATTTCATTTACCCTTTGCAACTGTGACTGAAGTCCTCTGACAGAACAAAAATGTCTAAATGAGTTTTAATTAACCTTCCACAATCAAAAGACTCTGTGTCAACCTAAAAGGAAGGGAGACTCTCTTTCAGTGCATTAACACATAATTTCATTACTCAGGTACTTCTTGAGTAGCAGGGAAGCCAGAGGGGAAAACAGAAGCTCGCAGTGGGGGAGGGGGTGGAAGGACAAGTTGCCATCATCTAGTCAATTATTAAAGTACTCAACTAGCAGCCACTAATGTATTCATACTTTCCACCTCTCTCCTCACAGCCCTCCCTTTCCCACTCCAACTCCATAATTTATCTTGCATTTTAATTTTCCATTTATTAAATGCATTCATTTATCACAGTGTTCAGAAAACCTGCAGGAGAAATTGAGACAAATGTCTTCTTAAGTAGCCCTGTTTACCAAGCCGCAGCAGCAGCAGCTCTAAAACATCCAGGCTGGCTTGGAGCAGAAGTGCTACCTACTGGGAGCAAGGCCCCTGGGTTAGGCTACCACCTCCTTGGTAAAAATTTTAAATCATTTGAATTCAGTGACAACTGCATTATGCAAATGGATACAGTCATTTATAACTGTTACAGCTGTAATAGCTCAGGGTTTTAGGGCCTCGGTGGGATTTTAATACAAAGATCCCCGTTTCCTCTTTCTGTTACAGAGGTGCTGAGAAAATCACTGTCTATAGCAAACACACTCTGAAGGAAACAGACCTGCAAAAATATTTAAAAAGAATATTATCTTTTAATAAAAGAACTAAGGGACTTAGGGATGCCTGGTAAGCCACAGGTAATAACAGTATGAAGATATTTTTTCCTCTAGTGAAGCTTGCCTTTTAAATAAAAGCAAACAGTGACATTTTATACTAACTATCTCAGCAAAGCCATGCAGGAGAAAATGTAAGAACATAATGGGGGAGATTCTTCAAAGGCACAAATGGAAGAACTAGAGATCCATCTCCCACGAACAGCCTGACAGGACTGGGTGGGTTACTGCCATTTTTACTTTTGAAAAGACAGAAATTTTATTCTCTTATTGTTACTGTTTTTTTAAATGACTTTTACTCATTTCTAATGTGAGCTCGTTATATTATGGGCTCCTTTATCAGCCATATTACTGCAATATCTGGAGTTCATGTATTCTTTACTGATGAACAGTAGATTAGATGCGCAAATCACTCCTATTAACAACAAGGGATGCAGGAGTTCACCTGGCTAGCTGTGCCACACAGAAAACAAACACCCTACATGTACAGGATCCTTTAGGGATAGCAGCCTTCAGCATGTTCAGCAGATTTGATAGCCAATACCTTCGTAGAGTGGCCATGTTAAACAGCAACTGCCTCTGCTACAGTATCTCAGTGGCCCTTTACAAAGTCGGACCTACAAAAGTCTCACAGGTGTGTTTTGGCATCTGTTGAGCTCTGTCATATTCTAACAGAGTTCATGGGCTCCATGAATACGAATAGACTTTTGAAAAAAAATGATCGACCAGGTGTTACTGTAAATGGAAGCAGAGCTATCACACCCATAAATCAGAGAGCATATAAGCAGTCGCAGACTAAAATAAAGACTATTTCAAAGGCTTGAGCCATACATCTGTGCCTTGTACTTCAAACATACAACACTGTAGCATTGTTTTGTTTTGAAGAAGTATTTAAAATGCTTTGCTAACCATCTGCTTTTGCCTATCCTGTTACAATCAGCCCAATCTAGCAAAGATTTGAAAGATGCCCGCCTGGCATAGCACAAAAAGGAAAGCCCTGCGGTATTAATTCTCCCAATAAAATCTTGCACAAGCTGCCTGGAGATAGGGTATCAGTTGAAACCATAAACCCATTTATAGCTGACAAGAAGATTAATGACTTGTCCTGCACCGATTTCCTCCCATTAGCTATCAGTGGATCTGCTCCATCTGTCATTTCACAGGGAAAAACCTATACAGATTTAGTTTCCCAATTACTTCCAAATTGGCCTTCTCATAGAAACAGACTACTCACATTTGGTAACAACACCTTCCAAGTGGATGATGTTGGGGTGGTCAAACTGTCCCATGATGCTGGCCTCACTCAGGAAGTCCCTCCTTTGTTTATCAGTGTAGCCAGCTTTTAGAGTCTTGATAGCAACACAGATCTCTCTTTTTCCTGGCACTTTGAGACGTCCACTGCATACCTCACCAAATTCACCTGCAGGAAAAAGACCAAACACTTAGCTATGAATCACAGGTACATGTGAGACTGTTGCCAAGATGTAAATTGTCAGTGCTCTTCTGAACAAGCCAATTTATTTTAAGGAGTTGTTAAGCTAAGGATAATTAGATCCCAGGGCACCTAAACAGCAATAAAGCTATGTGTTATAAAACCAGACTTACTACAGAAATGCAGATGTCCTGAAACTTACCCACACCTATGACTTTTTCAATCTTTATACAGGAGGCATCGATTTCTTTGGCAAATTCCCGCACAGCTTGGTTTGGATCCTCATATGTGAAAGGATCCACATATGTTCTAACACCTGCAAGGCAAAAATGTTTTATTTGAAGTCACTGATCTACATGCTGCTGAGCACAGAACATATGAGAATGATGTCTTAATGGTATCCAACAGCAAGGAAAGTGTAAAAAAAAAAAATCACCATAAGCTAGGAATGACTGAAGAAAGAGAAAGAGATTTCCCAATGGGATTTTTTATGAAAACATTTTATTTCCTACATACTGCAAAAAAATCAGGCACCTGCCAGTGAATGAATTGCACTAATTACTATCAGTACTACTAGCTAGCTGCAGCTCGGGGACCAAGAGAATAATATACACCAAACTACTATTTTGGGGTCAGACTTCTGAGCCTGCCCCAAACTCTGTATGATGGAAGCAACAGCATATTCAGTCTTCAGGAAGGTATGCATTTCCTCTGAAGCACCTTCTCTGATCCAGCCAGAAGCATCTATTAAGTATGTTGTGGGGAAAATTATGGCTAGTCAATATCACCCAGAAACAGAAGTCATGAAAACCTTTCACTGGGAAAGAATAATGCAGAAAAAAGGGTGATTCTAGAAAAATTCCCTCAAAATCCCACAGGTGAATGTTTTTGAATGTTTCTAGTCGCACATATTTTTCTGCTACTAAGATGCTTAGTTCTGGTGAAGGAAAGCAAAAAGGAAAACAAAAATATTCATCTCAAGAATGTCATGCCTTATTTTCTAAGCATAGAACATGCTTTGTGAACCAAATAAAAAAACCCCAAGCACCACTGCCTTTTACCTTGATTCAGATGTTTCTCCTCATCTGCCTCTTGCTTAGCTTTACTGTACTTGCTGCGTCTGTTGGAATGAAAAAAGAGCATTGCAATTCAAAAAGAATATCTTACTCAGATAGGATCTCAGTCCTCGTGACCTGCCGAGACTTGAATTATTGTACCTGCCAGGACCCACATTCTCTGTTTCTCTTGCAACAGTTGAAGACCGAACTTATGCCTACCAAACTGCAGGAAGCTCTATTCCTTATGCTGGTTTAGGTGTTAATTAGAGGTGCACCAATACATTGGTCCATATCATATCGGCACTGATAAAAGGAAAATTGACATTATCGGCAATCAGCTTTTTTGGCTGATATGACCAAAAACGTCATCAATAAATGCTGTGTGCATGTGCGCAGCCACAGCCTGACAGGAATGGAGCCAGGCAGCTTGGGGAGCAGTGTTCAGCCAGTAAGTCTGTTGGGGGAAAGGGGTCGGGGGGCAGATCGAGGTCCTCATGGTTAGGGAGGGAGTGGGGCTGGGAGGGGGGCTATAGCCACCTCAAAATTCACCGTAGCCACCCCCCTGAACCCCTCCCTCCCGGCACCGCTGCTGCTGGCCCCAGCCCGCAGCAACAGCCGGCCCTTGCCTCGCACACAAATCACCCGCATGCCCTGGATGAGCTGCTCGTGGCTCTATCCCATGTCCTGCCCCACCGCCTAGGCTGTGCAGCACCTGCCCCTGCCGCAGCCAAGCCCCACTCCCTCCCTCACCATGGGGGCCTCAATCGCCCCCCCCCCCCCTGCCCCTTCCCTCTGCCCCATCTCATCCCCCTAACAGGCTTATCAGCTGGACGCTGCTCTCCAAGCTGTCAGGCTGCATATCAGCAATTGGATCAGTATCAACCAATATGGCTCGTTAGTAATCAGCCATCGGTGTCAGCTCAAAAAAATCTTTTATTGGTGCACCCCTAGTGTTAGTGTCATCTCCAAAGGTATAAAGGGAAACAAAAAACAAATTCACATCCGATTCACCAGGTACATGCCTGAACTTGCCATTTACATTCCCCCCTTCACTTTTCTAATTTCCAACTATTTACTTTGAGTCTCCCTTGCTTACCTTTAGCTTTCCTTCACTCATTTTTCCCCCTCATCCATCCCTTCTCTACCCATTGTTTTCCTTATTTCCACCAATTTACATTCTCACTGACCTTCTGTCACACTTTTAGCTTCTTTCATTCCTTGGAGATCTCAGAACAACAACAGAGTCTCCCTATGCCTGAAGAAGGGTACTTGTGCCCAAAAGTTTGCAAAGAAATTTGTTCCAACTACTCAGCTGGTCTAATAAAAGATATCACATCTACCCAAAGAACCGTGAGAACCTTGCCTGCCTATGTCCTTAGACCAGCACGACTGGAACCAAAAACCCTGCAAATTTGCATCTCTGGATTTAAGACAGGGGTGGACAATTACTTGGGCTAGAGGGCCACTTAGGGAGTTCTGCTGAGCTGTTGCAGGCTGGGTCAGTGCACGCTCCCTCACCCCACCCCACCCATTCACCAAAGTTGAACCCTAACTGGTTCTGCCCTGGGGCCTGGTGTTCCTGGCCCAGAGTCTCCATGGAGACTGGCTCAAGGCCTCTACAGGCAGAGTGTGTTTGGCCAGGTAGATGGGATGGGGCCATAGGTGGGTGTGCAGCAGCATCAGAGAGCAGGATCTGTGGCTGGGGGCCAGGCCAGGATCTTGAGGCAGTGAAAGCTTGGGGCTTGGGCCCAGGGCAGAGCCATAACCCACTCCTGGGTTACTCCTCCCCTTGCCCACAGAAACAGTGTCTGTTGCAGAGACATGCGGGCAGCAGATAATGGTTCCACTCCATGCCCTGGCCATGTGCTGTCACCACCCCAACATCCCAGGCCTGGTCCCACCAGGCCTGCTCTTGGATGTCGCTCCCTGCCCACTCGTGGCCACATCCCATTCACCTGGCTGAACGTACCCAGTCTGCACGAATCCCAGGCCAGTCTCCATGGAGATCCCACCCATCCATTCAGTCCAGTATCCATGGCAGTGGGTGCAGCATGGACAGGCCAGGGTGCTCAGGCAATGGGACCAGGACCAGCAGCAGTAGGGATACTAACAACGGCAGCCGGAAAGGAGCGCCACTCTCAGAGATGCCAGGAAGTGGAGTCCAGCCACTGTGCTGCCCCAGCCCCACTGTGTGCCTGAGGGTGGCAGGACTGGCCACATGCACCATGGCTCAGGTTGGTCCCTGCAAATGGGCTTGGTGGGGCCGAGACATCTGGCCCACAGGCCACATTTTGCCCACCCTTGATTTAGGAAGATAGAACTCTTTTGCTTTTAAAAAAGAGACTTTTGCAGTTCAAAGGCCAAATTTTAAAATGAGACCCAACTGGGCAGTGAGGGGGGGTTTCATCACAAGTAAATTTGGCTGGAAATGCTAGCACAGATGTCTAAGTGACTGGCTTTCGTGTACAACTGAATTAGACACCTGAATGTCAGCATTTGTACCCATATTTGATTGCAAGAACAATACTGAATGTTTCAGTTTACTACATGCTACAGGATTATTAATATGATAAATTCTACTGTATATTAAGTTTTATTTTTATGCATGTACACATAACTTACAATTTATGACTTTAATAAAAAAAAGCATGAGTTCAGTTGTGTGTGTGAATCTGAACAAAGTTTATACAAAAAAAAATCTGTGAAGAAGGACTTTGAGAGGTTTTCTTTGGCTCATTAGCTACATAGAAAGTACAGGCCCAGGAATAGTGGCAAGGTAAAAATCTCCCCAAAGCTGAGGTTTGTTGTTGATCAAATCTCAGTTTGCTTGAACCTACTGAAGTCTGCAGGAAAATTTTCAAGGGTTCCTACCAGATCTGGCTCAGCAAAGGGAATGGGACTGGAAGCAACAGGGATAAATAGGAGGGCAGTGGGACAGGGGAGAGGAGCAGATGTGTGGAGACAGACTCACAGGGCAGGGAGACCAAGACAAATTTCAGGGGAGATGATTGAGACAACACTGAACAGGGTGGATTTAATTTAAATCAAATTGATTGAAATCATGGTTTAAATCATGAATTTAAATCACTGTTCAGAAGGCTTTGATTTAATCATTGTTTTCTACAAAACGTGCATTCTTGTTGTTTGATATCCTTTATTCATTTAACTTCTTGAAACTTCACACTTTTAGAGAAAGATAAGGGCTTGACTGTGTGTACACAAACTTGCAGAGAGAAGAGAAGGCTGGGTGGGAGTGCGGGGCTTGCACTGGTGTGCGGGGGCCAAGGCCGGCAGGGCCCAAAGCAGAGTGGCAGGAGCACAGGGCCTGGGCTGGCGGGGGCTCTATGGAGCCAGGCCAGCTCCCCCCTCTCCCTGCTGGTGCAGCCCACCCCAGCTTCATAGAGTCCCTGCCAGTCCTGCACTTCTGCCAACCTGCTCTGGGCCCCTGCCAGCCCTAGCCCTCGCATACCAGTGCTGCCCTGCGCTCCCACCCAGCTATCACTACACTCCCGCTCACTGCCACTTGCCCCCCCGCCTGCCGCCATCATTTTCGCACTTTCCTGTCCACCACCATTGTTCCTCCCCACCCACCCCTTGCCCACCAGCTGCTTTGGCACCACGTGGTTCCCAGCTACATTACTACATTACAGGACCTGGCCCAGTCCCGAGGACTGGGGCAATCACCTGCGGTCCTCCCCTGCTTCACTGCCCCACCCCAGTTCTTAGCTGAATTTCCCTCTCAGGCAAAGGGAGGCGGGGAACATCCCCAAGGTCCCACGCCAGAAGCCTCTACAATGCAGAGGCTTCTGGTTGGGGGGCTGGGAGTGGGGCAGGGCCTGGAGGGGCTTGCTGCTGTGGCTGCTGGGTCCTCCCACTGGCTCCCCTTTGGTCTTACTGCCACTGGTGCCTTGTCATCTTTGACAGGCAGATAAATATTAATTTTCTAAATTTTGGGGGGCCCTGCAAGCCTGATAGAACAGCCTGGTAGGCTGTATTTGGCCCATGGGCAATATCTTACCCGCCCCTGGAGTAGAATAAGGAGCCAATGTAGGGGAAAAATAGGACAGGGACAAGTTGGGCATAGGGGATAGGGCAAAAAGAGGAGGATGAGAAGAATGTGTGGCCACTATAAACACTCCGTTCCAGAGCCTTGGATTCCCTAATCTCACTGTTTGCTGTCAGCCAAAATCTGGTGGCAAAGTGTGTCTTATTCCCAATGCTGTGTTTGCCCCTATAAAGAATAACAACCTCCTAACACTACTGTTTTCGCGGTCAGCCATTGTAGCATCCCCTAACTTTTGAGTGCTTGCCTTTGAAACTTTTTTTTTTTTTTAAACGTGGGTTCTTGTGTGCACTGTATGCTAAATAAATAAAATGGAGAGGGAAGGGGGTGGAAATTCAAGCTATATTAAGAGCCAACCACTGTCCTTGATCCAGGATAGCTCTGAATAACATCAGTGGGAATTGTGTTCAGGCACCAAGGATGACATATGGCATAAATGTCTGGGAACTTTTTTTTTTTACTGGTTAAAGTGAATTAAAATCAAATCACTTCAAATTACAGAAAATACACCCTGAATGCAAGCGACAATTTAAGCAGTTTTTTTAGTTGCTCAGGGGTGAGCCATGCTAGTGTGAACTGAACTAAGCCCACTGTTAATTCCCCAACTTCTACAAATCAATGGGAGCTACATAGGATTCACATCAGCAAAACATTTGGCCTGGCATCTATAAGAGCACAGCAGGAAGTGATCTTTGGCAAACTGGGACAAGTCAGCACCACTATTATTGAGCATGTATAGAATGCTTTCAGTTAAATAAAGCATTACCATACAGCCTCTTGTTCAGGAGAAGATATTCTAAATGTTATGTATGACCCTTCCCACCAATTTTAATTAATATCCAAATACAGATGTGAGAAAAGAACAGCAAGTGTTAAAAATTACTTTTAGATTTTTTAAAAATCCTTTTTATCTTACTTGAAAAAGGAAACAAAAAGATTACTGTTCAAACAATGTAATTGTAGCTTATTAACTTTTAATAATACCTTCCAAACTAACTA